CAGCATAGCAAGTTGGAAAATGACATATTCTGCCATATATGAAGAGGGGAGACTCTCTGGAATCTGGCAATATAAGAACCATGATGGTGGGACATTCTGTCACTTCACAGCTGTCCAAAACATGTGGTTTGTGCCAGTCGGACATGATTGCCAGTATTTTTTCATTATTGCAAGAAATTCCATTGACTCATTCACAAGTCAAAAATGTGTTTTATCTGAAAGAAACATGCAATATTTACATCTAAGATCATAGAAAAATAGTCAACCAAGTGCAATGATGTCCTCCAAGATAATATTTGTTTTTCAGTTTCAGTTATATATTGGGGGGCATTTTGGGCATTGGTGGGGGGGGGGGCACGTGTCCCCCTCAATGTATATGGTGACTACGGCCCTGTCAGCATGCATAATTAGGCTGCAGTTGTCTGGGTGCGCAAAGGTGAAGTGGCTGGTCTTGTCATACAAAGTTTGATGGAGTGTCAACTGGACAATATGGAGATATTTGCATCTTGAAAGCCGGACTACAAATGTGGATAGACAGGGAGAAACACACTCAAGCCTAAGACGTGGTAAGATACGATATTCCTCACTATATGAAGTGACTGATAACAAGATCTGTATAATGGTTTGTAAAGAAATCCGTCAAGTTTTTATTTTGTAGACAATTGATCTGTATTTATAGCGTGATGGGATGACAGCACAATGATGTGTGTGGTATCACTGGAAAGCTCTGCTCCTGCGCTTTCATGTTATATGTGTGGCATTTCTGTGCGAGCCTGCATTCGCAAGTAATCCATCCAAGAGTAATGTGTGTGTGCAAAGCTGCATGAAAGCTCTGTTATACATAATTTTAGCGTAATTTTATCATTTTATTTCGCTGTGAAAATATTAGACTACCGACAAGTGCTTGGTCTTGTCGGAAAGCCACAATTCCGCTGTTTCACGTGATATACGTGGCTTCTCGCTATGACGCACGGTCGCAGAGAAAAACCATAGAGAAGAACAGGTGTGAATTTGGACGCACTATGCGTCGTTTGGGCCCATAGGGTTAAGGGCTCACTGACCGTCAACAATTTGTGCAATTAAGGAACCACAAGTCTGGGTGTTCGGGTGTTTCACTGGGTGTCCCCCAGGGGTCAGTCTTGGGTCCACTTCTCTTCATCATCTACCTCCTCCCCCTGGGCACAATCCTCCGTCACCATGGGGTCAATTTTCACTGCTACACCGATGACACACAGGTCTACATCTCCTCCAAACCCACCACTGCCATCTCTCCCACCTCCCTCAACACCTGTCTTGAAGACATCCGGAGCTGGATGAGCAGGAACTTCCTGAAGCTAGACGGCAATAAAACAGAGGCCCTGCTCATCGGCTCCAAATCCACCCTCACCACGTCACAACACACCCCAGCTCCACCCATCATCATTGACAGATTCCCTGTACCCTTCTCCTCCCAGGTCAAGAGCCTCACCACAAAACATCACCTGGACTGCATTCTTCCACCTCTGCAACATCTCCAGACTCCGCCCATCACTGTCCCAATCCAGCACCAAAATCCTGGTTCACTCATTTGTCACATCCCGCATCAACTACTGCAACGCCCTCCTCACCGGCCTCCCCACCAAACTCATCCACAGACTGCAAATCATTCAGAACTCAGCCGCCCGGATCACCGCCTGCACCAAATCATCTGACCACATCACCCCTGTTCTCATCCACCTTCACTGGCTCCCTGTACAATACTGCATCCACTACAAAGACCTTCTCCTCACCGACAGAGCTCTCCATCACCTCGCCCCCACTTACCTCTGTGACCTCCTTCAGGAATACACCGCCTCCCGCACCCTCCGCTCAACCTCTGCTGGACTCCTCACCATCCCCACCTCACGCCTCAGTACCATGGGTGCCCGAGCCTTCAGCTGCTCGGCACCCAGACTCTGGACCCCCCCCCACACACACACACACACACACATAAGACAGTCAGATTCCATCACATCATTCAAATCCCACATGTTCAAACTGGCATATTGACTCTAACTGGACACTGTGCACTACACTTGATTTGTTTTAATGATGTCTTTTATCTTCTACACTCTGTAAGGTGACCTTGGGTGACGTGAAAGGTGCCTCCAAATAAAATGTCTTATTATTATTATTATTATTATGAAATAGCTTCTGGTTTTGGATTTTGGAGGCGTGGCCTCAGGCTCTCAGAAACTGTTACCTCCTGTTTTTAGACATTTGACAGCCTGAATGATTCAAATGAACTGAGATAATAATTATCAGACTAACTGGTGCTGCAGGTTTGTATAGTGATGTATCGGCTGTATTTACTGTGGGACGATCTGAACCTGTGGACCATCAGAGATTCACACTGTGGTACCTCTCTCCTCTCTCTGAGGAGCAGCTGTGAAACAGCTACAAACTGCAGCTCTGTCCTGGATCAACTCATCCTGCTAAAGAGAGGAGCAGGGACCCGGAGCTCGTGCATCAGGACATGTTTAATAATTAAGAACTCATTTCATGTGTGTGTGAATAAATCAGATGGTGCTCGTGCAGCAGCAGCTCCGGGTGATGAAAGGCTCCTCAGAGGCTCATTAGGTCTGATGAAACATGCAGCTTCACTTGAACACAGCTCAGGCAGGACTTTGTGAGGATCAGCCTTCATTTAGAAAATACATGTCCTGTGTTGCTGCTTCAGCTATTGATCTCTGCTGTTTGCTATAACAGTCCATATGAATAACCAGCTGTCAGATCAGATGAGACTTGTTCCTCCTCCTACCTGAAACACGGGCTTCTGCAGCCCGTCTCCTATCCCGTGTCGGGTGTAGATGTGCCGGGACATCTCTGCCAGTTCATCGGTCCAGGGCGGAGGCTGCCTCTCGGTGCCGCTCCACGGAAGGTGCTGCGGCGGCGGCTCCGGTGGCGCACAGTGCACCGCCGGCTCCAGCTTGGCTCCGGTTCACACAGGAGGAGAGAAGCAGAAGAAGATGTGTCCGCTCCGCAGCAGCTGCAGGTCGGTGTGCACAGCTGATGGAGCCCGCAGATATCAAGCAGCCCTCCCTCCCCCTCCTCTTCATCACACTGAGCCTCATCACTGCTGCGTTCAGGGACAAGGAGGAAACTCTGGACTTCAGCATTTAAACTCTCAATGAGCGGAAAATGAAAACGGAAAATTAAAGTATTTTCTCAAGAGGCAGCCAAAACTCCATCTCTCCGTTTGAATGTTTCACTGAACTGAACTTATTGTGCACCTCATAAAATATTTAAACATACATGTATGTTGCATATAGAAGTCGGACTTTACGAGCAGCACTGAAAGGCAGCACAAACCCTCACTGTACCTGCATGACCTGGCTCCAATCTATAAAACACACACACACACACACACACACAGATACCTGAGAAGGTGAAGTGTTATTTCATGCTGCATTTGACTGAACTATGACTGAACTTTGTGTCGTCCACTGAGCGCTGCATCCTGCAGGACTGTCTCAGATCAAGTTTATCTCCCACACACAGACTGAATGTAGCACCGTGTGGACATGAGTCACATGACTTGGATTCCAGCAACAAATCTGATGACTTTAGACTTCAGCTCGTCTTGGACTTTGACCCACCCAGGTAGCCATTGGACTCGACCCACATGCACCCGAGTGTTGACTGACTCGGCTGAGGTCAGCTCCATGGTGCCAGATGTGAGCCAGCTTTGGCTCGTTTGCTTTTTCCAAATCTGGCCCAGAGTCAGCCGTTACAGACACGGGCCGGTCCTGGCTGAGACACAGCAGGTGGACGACACAGTGGCCAGTACCAGAACCTGTTGTGGCCCATTGGTGGCTGCCAAATCTGGGCCTGACTGGACATCAAGATCAAGATGAACTTTATTGTCGCACAAAGTGGGAAACTTGTCCTGGGCCCTCCACCCACAGTGCGCCCAGAGGAACAACACATACAACACAGTACACAGACAAATCAATATTATACCCAACTTAGCCGTAAGAAACACAAAGAGATAAATAAATAGATTAATAACATCATACGCTAAAAATAACTCCACAAAAGTGCAATCCAGCAAATCATCATAATGCCTTACCAGCTCTGATTTTATCTGCCATAATGGGCCCCATGCACAGGGGCCTTTTCTGTAGGAGATTCGTTGATGGTTACCAAATCTGGGTCTGATTGGACATTACAGACACAGGCCGGTCCCGGCTGAGACACAGCTGCCAGAATCAGGTCAGTTTATGTGGCTCAATTCTGGGGCGTCATTCATCCCGAGTCTGTCGAGTCAGGTAAACTGAAACAGCCCGACTTATTTCTTCCTGCATGCTGAGTTTGGGCCGACGCTGGGCCGAGTCATTTTGGGTGATGGCTTTTGAGTTCACTGTGACTTACAGCCTTTGACCTGAAAATATGTGACACCTCCCCACAAGTCAGTGTGGGAAGAGACAGCACTCTCAGAACATTTTAAAATGTATTTACAGTATTTGAGGTCTGTTTGCAGCCCGACACACTTCCTGCTGATGTCATGTTGAATTCTTCACTTCAAAGTAAAAGAGGCAGTTTTTATCAGAGCAAACAGACGAGGACAAACAACAGATGATAAAAGCTCCTCAGTGATCGTCAGCAGACAGAGAGAACAGCTGAGTGTGTTCAGACAGTCTCTCTGTGGACGGATCCTGCAGGAGAACAGTCTGTGGTGTCCAACCTTCAACAGTTAAGACAACAGATTTTACCTGCACAACCTTCCTTCTACAGTCCCCAGTGCATCTGTTTATAAAAAGAGCATAAACTATAAAAAGTCCAACATCAGTGACTAACTCATGTCTTTATAATAATGGTGGTATTAATATCTTGTTCATGACGAGCAGCTGGAGATGTGTGCAGGGAACAGGAGACGCTAATGAGGTGCACAGCTTCTATTTTAATCATCTTAACTGTATAAATGTGATTAACTTGCAGCCATCCACAGGGACATGTGGGCAAAAAGAGACCACGCTCCATCACAGGTAAATTTCTTTTATTTAAAGAATATTATAAGTTCGCTCTGTTAAAAAAGCTGTTTAAATCCTGGATAAAGGAACTTTTCTTGGAATATTTTAAATATACAGAATTATACATATCCAGCGGATTCTGAAGTTACTCGCCGTATAACGTCGTGTCCGTGTCGTCCTTTGATTTCTACAGAGAAACAAGGCATCCAGTGGTAAATAAAAGTTTACAAAGCTAAGGTGCAACGTCACCAACAAAACCAGGTATCTTACATCTAATATACAAGGCCTTTAATATCAGGCGCATAAAGAAAGTATAGACAGGTCTGGATAGAGTCATAACTACGGAGCTACTGCAACACACAGACGGTAGATCCTGTCAAAGCTGCTCCTCAATTTAACCCCAAAAACAAACAGTTAAAAACACATCTCTCACGTTTCTGTCGTCATCTTGTTTCTGAAACTTTTCAAAAATCAAATTAAAAGCAGAAGCAACAGAATAATAATAATTACAAATTCTCCAGCCATGTAAATTATACATGTATAATGTCTCCATATATATAAATCAAAGTACAGTCACTGACAGGTTTGACATGAAACATCTGGTGTGTTTGCATAAAACATGACGTCCTGACAGGATGTGCTGAGTGACAGAGAGCCGACATGTGACGGGACGACGTGATGATCATGAAGAGACGCAGCGTGTTCATCAGATTATTACTCACTTCACCCTAAAGTCTGACGATCATCGTGAAAATCAGTGTTACTCTTTTTTACATTGATAAAGAACCTACGGCGGGTAAAGCCCTCAAACACATACACACATGTAAAAAACAAATATGTGCACACGTACACACACACACACAGAAAATGTCGTCTTAAATATGTCAGATGCAGAATCCACTGAACGCATCACAAGGCAGTGAGTTTAAGGAAAAGGTTTTAACCATTTACACAAACAGAAGTGTTAACGAACATGTGATGGATGAATGTAGAGTTTGTACTTTATCAGGTGAGCTGACGGATGCTGGTGGTGAAGAAAATCAGGATGGAGCTCCGGCACATTTTGTCATGAAGCGAGGAGGTGTGGCCCCGCTCACACAGGCTCTGCAGCAACACCAACTCTCACAGAGATGCAGCTTTGGATCAGTCAGTGTGAGTCGCACTAAAGGTCACAGAGGTCAGAACGAAGTGGACCTGTCTGTCAGATGATTTCAGCCACAGTCTTTAAAACATCATCATTAAAACCAGAAACATTAAAGGGGGGCGTGACCCTCTGAACACCAGCTCCTCTCCACGTGGTACACTGAATTTGTAGAGAAAACTTTTTTGTTTCCACATTTCTCCACAGTGAACGAAGAATCAGAAAATACTGAGCACTGACAGGAAACAGTTCAGATCTTCTAGAGTGAAATGTACGAGCTACTTCAACATATTAAATGTTGCACCTACAGTTAATGGATGTGTTCAGGTTTAGCGCTCTACTGACTTGAACAGGGATCATATGATACAGGGACTGTGTCACTCAAACAGATTCATCCACTGATTTACAGACGTCTCTGTCCCAGTGTAGCTCCATGGTAAAAGTCTTTTTGGGTTGATGGCATCATGTGACAGACCCGAGAACTGCAGTACCACTGTTTGGCCACTACGAAAACTGGCTTGTTTGAGCGGCGTGTCCAAGAGCGTCTACACATCGATGTGGGGTTGTACATTGAAAACAATAGGGTCATACTATTTGGTTCAGCGTGGAGGCATGTGAGAAAGTTTTCTTCCCAGATTGAATGCAACACGTGGAGGTTACTGACGTACAAACAGTCAGTCTGTGGATGACGTTTTTCTTTAATGCAGAAACTTTTGAACATGTAATTCAGGTGTTAACGAGCTTCAGTCCACAGCTAACGTGCTCAGTCAGTTTCCTGTCTGAACAACAAAATGAGACTGACATGATTTTCTCTGCAGAACACGTCTGTGCAAAGATTTTGTCGTCTGTTTTTCGATCATCTGTCTCTGAAGCATCTGATGGAACAGATACGCCTCAGCATTGATCAGTTTAAACCAGCCGTGCGGAGGTTTGCATAAAGGCTGATGTTCCACCTGCTGGTTTAGTTTCATGATGTCAGACTGAACTGTCGACTCATGACACTCTGTTTCATCTTCAGTCTCACACTGCGTCCACTCCCACTGATTTCTGTGTGGGAGGGAGATTTGATTTCTCTTAACCAATCAGTGCAGACCGAGGTGCCTGAATCTAACGTCGACACCGACACACCTGTGACACAGAGTGGAGGGAAGTTAAAGAAACGACGATGTCAGGTGACAGTGAGAGGACGTGTTGATGTAGAGCGCAGCGCCTGTCTTGTTTATAGTGCTCGCCATTTTTGTTATTAGTCCTCATTAGTTCCGACACACCGCCTGACATCAGCCTGATAACAGCATTAGCCTGTGGCGCTGATTGGCTGATCATAAGTCCCGCCCCCTTAACGTGATATTTATCAGATTGTTTTGGTGCAGTACTGAACTGTGGCTGAACGTTTCCAGAGTCTGTGTTGGCTACTCTGCGACGAGGTGGAAACAGACGCTTGGTTTACCTCCGTCAGAGTGAACGTGACCCGACCGTCTGTTAAAACCTCAGATGAGGACGTGTGGATTCAGTTCGGTTGAATTCAGAAACAGTGATGTTTAGATGAGCTCTGTGTTAAGTGTGACGTGCTGATTGAGTCAGTGAGGTGATGACTGATCGTTTTATGGTCCTGGATTTAAACCCAACTCTTCTTCTGTGGTGACCTGTGGGTGAAGACCAGCGCTGCGTTCACTGTCAGTCAGGAAAAAGCAGTGAAGGACAGGAGAAAAGTCCTGACGCCGTGTTTAGCCTCACGTACAGTAGCTGAGGACGTTCACACAGAGTGTCCCGACTCAACAACACACCTGCGTCACACACACACCTCAGGTATTTCACCTTTCACTCAGCGTGTTCAGTTCAGTTCAGCTCAGCAGGCACAAGAAAGGCTGAAGGAATGTTTCCTAAAGCATTTACACACACTCACTCACACACACTCACACACACACACACACACACACACTCACACACACTCACACACACACACACACACACACACTCTCTCTCTCTCTCTCTCTCTCTCACACACACACACACACACACACACACACACACCAGGTGAGCTGAATGAACACTGGACAGTGAAATATCTGAGGTGTGAACTGATCTCAGGTCTGCAGTCAGTCTCAGTTTTACAGCAGAGGCTGCTGGTAGTACGCCGCCTGCTGCTGCTGCTGCTGCTGCTGCTGCTGCTGAGGAGCCTGGTGAGGAGGAGCAGCCACAGGATAGGACACAGGAGGCATGTTGGAGTTGTGATAGGTCGACATGTCCATGGCCACGCCCCCCTGGTGTGGGTAAGGAGCTCCAGCAGCCTGGTTCATGTACTGAGCGTTCATCGCAGTGCTGTCAAGAGAACACAGACGGGACACTTAGTGCCAACAGGAAGTAAAGACTCAACATGTGGAAATGATTATTTTCATGGAGCAAATTAAATCTCTTTAAATCTCTTTCTCTCTCATGTCGAACCAAATCTATGAGAACATCCACAAACTTCCCCAGAAGCTACTGGAGTTAAAATCATTGACTGGTAGACGTGAAGCCTGACTGGACTTTAGCTCTGGATGATGATTTGCTGCCTGGTTGCGGCTCCAGCTGAACATTATTGCGATGACATCACAGAAGCTCATGTGAAGGGGAACACATCAGAGGATCAACTCCGACTGGCAGAATACAGATCATCATCAGGCACTGAAGTCCTGTGATATACAGTCTGAGCTTTGTTCTGAGACGCATTCAAGAGTTGGTTTATATGTTGTAAATCTTAACATCGATTTAACCCAAAAGTACAAAGCCGGCAGGCCTCACTGTACGATCCACATCTTCACCAAAACTTTCATTTTCAGTGTGCAGGTTGTTGTTGTTTCCTGTAATGAAGGGGATTTGTAAGATTATATTCTAAGGGCTTTTTGCCTTTCTTACAGCACAGCTGGAGAGAGACAAGTGGGAGAGACAACGTGGACAACACGCAGCAAAGAGCCACAGGTTGGACTCAAACTTGAGCTGCTGCAAAGACTTGAGGCACACTCTGCCTGTTGAGCTAGAGGTCGTCCTCTGAAGGGGATTTTTCAAACGGTGACACGCACATCGCGGCAGGGAGGGAGGATGTTGGCCTGAACAGCCACCAGAAGACAAGTATATACCACAGATCACAACCTGTGAGTCAGACTGGACGGAAACACATCACAGCTGAACACATCACAGCTGAACACATCACAGCTGAACACATCAACAGCTGCACTGAACAACAATCTGAAATATGATAGCTGATCTGCATAATAAGTGACAACATGACATATACATA